ACTGAGTCGGTGCGGATGTCAGACATGTTGATGGAGGATGCGGCCATGTCGGGGGAAGAGGGGGTGGAGGACGTGGCCTGAACGGGGGTGGAAGATGCAGCAGCAGCGGTGGCGGCGGCGGCAGCAGTAGTGTCGGCGGCGGCACGTTGGGAGTTCTTGGTTCGGCGTGGTGGCATGTGGAGGGTGGGGGGGGAATCCCCTATTTGTGCCTAAAAATATAAAAAAATAAAAAATAAAAAAAGGAAGAAAAAGAAAATGACGATGAGAAGAAGAAGAAAAGAAACGAGGAAGAAAAATAAGGAGAAAAATAAAAAAAATAAAATTGTCGTTGATTACTTATCTGCGCGACGGCGATGACAAGGATGGCGCGGCGCAGTGACGAGGAGGAGAGGCATGGTGATGATGACGTGGCGCAACGGCGGCGATCCCGTCGGTGACGATGATGACGGGGCACAATGACGACGATCGCGATGATGACGATGATGACGTGGCACGGCGGCGAATATCTCGACGATGATGTTGATGATGGCCAGGTGACGACGTCGAAGCAGGGTGGGTCGGGACGTCGAAGCAAGGTGGGTTGGGCGGGTTCGAACCGCTCCGATACCAGTGTAACCAGCGTGAGGCTGAGGGTGAGCCGAGGGAGAGGAGAGAGAGGGAGAGAGTGAGAGCACACACACACACTCACTCACTCGACACGACTGACTCGGACTGAGGATCGGACGCAGACACAGTGGCAAGGCACGAAGTCGAAGTCTTGGATTCCGAATGCCGAAACAGCAAGTCACACTGAGTACGAGTACAGCAGTAGAGAACTGGTACGAGACTGTTCCCCGTACCGTACGGGGAGCCGGTATAAGTACCGGTGACACGTACGGTACCAGGGGCATTTCTGCAAAGGCCCCGAGGGCAGAACTGAAAAATGCAGTATTTGAAAGTGGCGCTCGAATTGCAGCATGGCGCCAGTTGTCCAAAATCCTATGGTACCAAAGGGGGGGTTTGGAAAAAGGGTGCCAGGCCGAGAAGGGGATGCAGCCAAAACAGCAAAAGATAGACCAGGGATCGAGCCCTGGCGAAGTCCGTAACACCGGGTGTGACCGAGAGTTGACCGGAGGTGTTGACCGGGGTTGACAGGAGATGACCGGGGGTTGACCGGGGGTTGACTGCAGGGTTGACCGAGCGTTGACCAAGGTGTTGACCAATGCTGTTGACCGCGATTTTGACCAAGCTGTAGCCGGCTTCAGCCTATCCCCTCGCCCTATGGATGTGCACACACCCTGTGGTACTTGCTGAGTCAAGTCTGTTTGTCTCTTCTTTCTGCATCGAGTCTCTTCTGTCCAGGTGTAGGAACTCTGTGGATGAAGGATAGGGCCTCGTTGACCAAACCCCTGTCGGACTGAGTAGGGCTAAAGACTGTGTCTGACGACTCAACTGTCCCGGAGGACACGAACCCTCCCAAGGACGGGTACCGACCGGCGGACTGCTCGGTGTGGCATGGTAGGCCCGAAAACTGAGCTATGGGCTGCACAACAGGTCGTCTAAGTGTTGAGAAGACCTGCTGATCGCGTCGTCCTGTCTACGACGTTAAATAACTCCTGAGGAGTTACGGGGGATCTCCTTAAATGCCTCCTGATCAGCAACAGGTCTTGTAGTGACAACCATAGAGTAGGTCTAGGCTAGAGACCATAGTTGGCAGGATCCTGCCCGGATTCTGTAAGTCTTGGATTGGGTCAGTAGGTGTGTTAGTCAGGGGTTAGAGTCTAAGTGGTGAGGTTTGGAACCGTTGACCCGGTTGTACGCTTATCACCATGGTTGACACCCGCAGTGGGAAGAGTACTAGCCCCTATACTGCGGCTCAACAAGAGCAGATGGCCGCCCTAGTGAGAGAGAATAGGGAAAAGAAAGAGCTCTTGAAGCAGGCGAAGCTAAAGGCGATCGCAGAGGAGCAGGCGGCGAAAAGGAAGAAGTTGGAGGAGGAGATGATGAGGATTCAGCAGGAGGAGGAAGAAAGAAGAAAGGCTGTTGAAGAAGAAGCAGCAGCAGAAGTAGAAGAAGAAGAGCGCCTTGAGAGAAGACGCAGGGAAGAAAGAGGGGAGAGCAGTAGCACGAAGGAGGAAGATGCCAAAATGGAGAAAAAGATCAGTGATTGGGTGGCAAATTTGTCGTTGGGAGAAGATGAGGAGGCGCAACGATATGTGCCACAGGAGGAGAAGGAGGTGTTTGCCAAGGCTTTGGAAATGATAGATGACCCCCTGGAACGTCAAGAGACAGAAGATGAGAAAAAGTTGGAGTGGAAGCTGCGCATGAAGAGGGAGAAGAAGAGAAGGAGGGAGGAAGCTGCCCGATTGGTTGCAGAGGTGGAGAAAATACGAGGGTGCAGGCAAGAATTGCAAGCACGAGCAGAGGTCCCTGCCAAGTTAGATAAGATTGTCGGGTACCTGAAGGTGCTAAGTGAGGCTTGGATGGAGGAACGCCAAAGCAACGGGGGTCACGATGTGGCCCTGCAGGCCATGCGGGCTGGCTTTAGGGAGTTTGCGCGCGACATGGTGACCCACGTCGGGGCCGAAGTGAAAGGGTTAAAAGAGGGCGTAAGGAAGTTTTGTGAGGGCGCCATTGAGGGCGCCAAGGTAGTAGCCACCACTGAGAGTGAGTCTAGACCCCGCAGGGAACCAGTTAAGCTGAAGTTCCCAGATGCCTATGGCAGGAAGGCTGACGAAAACTTCGATAATTGGGAGGCTAGTGTGAACACCTATATACACCTACAGTTGATTGCAGAGGACGATCAGGTCCTGGTAGCCTTCCAGGCCCTCAAAGATGCGGCGGTTAGTTTCGCCAGGTCCCTCGCGCGTGCGGTCGGTTGAGAAAACAGCATGGTCGCTTACTCCAAAGTCACCCCCCTCGCTCAATTCTTCAAGCTCTTGAGGGAGCGATTTGCTGATCTGAGAAGAGGCGTCAAAGCCTCTGATAAGCTCCAAACCATCCACTCGCGGCAGTGGAAGAGTGCAAGGGCACTCAAAGCTGTCATGGACGACCTGGTGGCCGTCGTGGACCATGGGGTTACTGAGCCCCAACTCGTCCAACTCTTCTATCATGCCATGTCGGAGCCCTTACGAGGGCACTTCTTTGACAAGTCCCAACAACCCACTATGACGTATGATGCGCTGAGTAGAGAAGTGGTGTTGTTCGAGGCAAAGTCAATGCCAGTTTCCACTTTCTGGCACAAAGACTTAGACAAAGGTAAAAAGTGGAAAGGTCGTACCATCAGCGGCCAAGTCAGGGCCAAGGATCACATGATCCTTACATTGGAGGAAGGTGGTACAAATGAGGTCCCCTATAGCCAAATTGAGTGGGGACTTGAGGAAGAGGACAACAACGTAGGACAGGGGAGGTCTTATGCTGTTGTAGCGGCTGGAGGGGGGCCGCAGGGCAGAGGAGGCCAGGGCCAAAGGGGCCAGGCCATGGGAGGCCGAGGATCGGGCGCACAGGGGGTTGGCGGTCAAGGGAAACGTCAAGCGGGAGGTAGGGGTCAAGGTCCCCCACCGAATCGCCAAAGTCCTAGTCGGTCCCCACAGCGACGAGGTGGCAGGTCACCTCAAAGGTCAGGGGGTTGGCACGCGGGTTGGCACCCGGGTTGGCCACAAGGCCGGCCATGGGAAGATCTGGGCCTGGACCAGAAAGTATGGCAGCAACGGATGGAGCAGGGGCAGTGCATTTACTGCGATGACCCTTCCCATGTCATTAAATATAGTCCTAAATACAGACAGGCCCGGTGGGCTGCCCAGGAGTCAAAAGGCAGCCGCCGGTAGGGGTTGCAACTGCCCTTACTTCTAGGCCATGTGGGGTAGCGAGCACGCGCACAGAGGAAACTCCCACACCACATGAGCCTTCGGCAGAGGTTGCAGGCCCGTGCCTAGTTACCTGTCCAGAGACTGCTTGTGTCAACGTCTCTCTAGGCACGTCCCTCACAAGAGTGGTAGAGGAATTGAAAGAGAGGATACCTGCCTGGGCCAAGATGAAGAAAGATAGCAAAGGGCAGCTAGTGTTAGTAGATGTAGAAGTTTTCAGGAGTAGAGTAGGGGCCCTTTCAGGAGTAGAGTAGGGGCCCTCATAGACTCAGGGGCCACCCGCAGTTATGTTAGCCGTAAAGCGCTGAGAAAGTTGAGGCTAGGATTGAAAGTCCAAAAGTTGGAAGGCCCCATAGTTAGTGTCCTTGCAGACAGCCGCACGATGCGAGTTGAGGACTACGTAGAGGGAGTCCAGTCGTATTTCCGCCTAGAGAAAGATGGGAAGGTGGAGAAAGTCCTCCATTCCCTGACTCTCCTCGTACAGGATGACCTTCTGTTTGACATAGTCCTAGGTATGGACTGGGGAGAGGCAGCAGGGGCCACACTCCATTTGCGAGAGCATGAGTGTAGGCTCCCTAGTCCGTCAGGCGAGGTTAAGACTGCCCGCCTATTCCATGTGTGAGGAGTAGACAACTCCTTGGCACATTGCTGTCTCAGTGCTCCCGCGTTCGTGCGATTAGTAAAAAAGGAGCAGTTAGAGGATCAGGTCTTCGTAGTGTATGTTAGACCTGTCACTGAGCCTAAGGAAGGGGATAGTTCCATGGATCCAACCATTGCCAAGCTGCTGGAAGAGTTCAAAGACTTATCTGAGTCGCCGACAGGAGTAGTGACGCGGTTGATCCGACACAGGATAGAGATAGAGCTTGGCAGTAGAACTCCTAAGGGAGCAGTCTACATGATGTCCCCCAGAGAGTTAGAGGAGTTGCGCAAGCAGTTGGATGAGCTCCTTGAGAAAGGCTGGATTAGGCCCAGTTCGTCTCCTTTTAGAGCACCAGTTTTATTTGTCCCCAAGAAGGAAGGAGAGTTGCGCATGTGTATACACTACAAGGGTCTGAATGCTATCACAGTCAAGGATGTTGAACCACTGCTCAGAATAGACAATCTCTTAGATCGGGTGCAGGGTTGTAAGTATTTCTCAAAGATAAATTTGAAGTCCGGGTACCATCAGATAGAGGTCCATCCTGATGACCAGTATAAGACTGCGTTCCAGACTCGTTATGGGCATTATGAGTTCACAGTGATGCCCTTTGGACTGACCAATGTGCCAGCCACGTTTCAGCATTGTATGAACGATCTGTTTAGGCCTTGGTTAGATAGATTCGTCGTAGTATATCTAGACGATATCTTAGTATTCAGTAGGACCCGCCAGGAGCACCAGGGTCATTTGAGGCAGGTCTTGGAGAAGCTGAGAGAGGCTAACTTCAAGATCAATGCGAAGAAGTGTGAGTGGGCCAAGACACAAGTCTTGTACTTGGGCCACGTGTTAGACGGCGATGGCATCAAGCCCGAGGACAGTAAGATAGCGGCGATTAGAGATTGGCCGACGCCCCGCACATTGACTGAGTTGCGGTCGTTCCTAGGCCTAGCTAACATCCGCCTTTGCCATTTGTCGTCACCACGGACGCGAGTCAGTATGGTATAGGCGCCGTGTTACAGCAAGCCGACGGCAATGGTTACAGACCCGTAGAGTTCATGTCCGCGAGGATGCCCTCAGAGAAGGTTGCCACCTCGACGTATGAGAGAGAACTCTACGCTCTCAGACATTCCTTCGAGGACTGGAAGCATTACCTGCTTGGGAGGCACTTCAAGGTGTACTCCGACCATGAGACTCTTAGATGGTTGAAAACACATGCCAAAATGACACCTAAGTTGACTAGGTGGGCCGCTGAGATAGACCAGTATGACTTTGAGCTCAAGCCAGTGAAGGGCAAGTACAATGTAGTTGCGGTTGATCTGAGTAGGAGGTCGGACTACTTTGGAGCCATAGTTCACTATCTGGACATAGGGAGTGACATGCAAGAGAAAGTTAGACAGGCGTATGCGCAGGACCCTATCTATAGTGAGCTCCTAAAGAAAGTTAGAGAGGCTCCAGAGACTGAGCCAGATTACCGCACTACAGAGGGGTTATTATTTGAGAAGACTAACATAGTAGACCGTCTATGTGTTCCCAATAGTGAGGAGATTCGCAGTTTGATCCTAGGGGAATGCCATGATACAGAGGGACACTTTGGTTGGCAAAAGACTTTAGCCAAGCTAATGCACGCGTACACATGGCCATGAATGAAAAACGATTGCATAGAGTATGTCCGCAGTTGTAAAGTCTGTCAGAGGAACAAAACCACTACGCGTGCCCCTCTAGGTCTTCTCAGACCCTTGCCTATTCCAGACCAGCCTGCAGATTCAGTCTCCATTGACTTCATGGATGTCGGTGTGAAGAGTAGGCACGACAAGAGCCAAGTCATGGTTGTAGTCGGCAGATTTAGCAAGTATGCTATTTTTGTTCCTTCGCCTGCAGAGGCACGCACAGATTCAGTGATCCGGAAGTTTTTCGATTTTTGGGTTAGTGAGCATGGCGTCCCATTGTCGATTGTTAGTAATAGGGATACCCGTTGTACTAGCCAGAACTGGCAGGAGCTAATGAGATTTTACGGATCTAAGTTGTTGATGTCGTATGGCCGCCATCCAGAGACTAACGGTCAGACCGAGCAGATGAACAAAATCCTGCAGCAAGTTGTGCGCATGTTCATTAGACCGGATGAGGTTAACTAGGACGAGATGTTACCCAAGGTAGCCAGTGCATACAATAACAGCGTGCATTTGTCCACCTGTCGCACTCCCAATGAGTTGCACAAGTCCTTTAGACCGCGCAGACCATTTGAGGGACTGAGCCGGGACCAGATTCACAGGCTACCGCCCGGTACCAGGGAGTTCGCAATACAACATGAGAAAGAGAGAGCCACTGTTGTTGAAAACCTCATGAAGGCCCAACACCAGATGATAGAGCAGGCTAATAAGCACCGTCGCCCATCACAGTTTCAGGTACGTGACCTGGTCTGGTTCAAGTCTAAAGAGTTCGCACCTGAGGAGAACATCTCGCAGAAGTTACTGTCCGTGTATAGAGGACCGTGGCCAGTTCTAGAAGTTAAGGGCGGAGAGGATGGGCCGTCCTACATTATAGAGATCCCAGCACACCTCCACACCTACCCTGTATTTCACGCATCAAAGTTACTGCCGTGTGTCACAAGTCAACAGTTTCCCTCTAAACAGTCCATGATCCCTCCAGACATGGACGAAAGATATGACATTGATGACATTGTAGGTGAAGATGTGTTCAGAACAGGAGGTAGAGGTCGTACACAAAAGCAGTATAAGGTCCGGTTTGCATATCAGGAACCGTAGGATGACCGCTGGTTCACTAGAGAAGAACTTATAGAAACCGCTCCTGATATAGTTAGAGCCTACGAGAGAGATCAGAAAGGTAAAGGTCCTGCCTTGGATTGAGTTATTCTCGGAGGACTTCGAATTTAGGCCGGCGGGAGTGAAACGGTATTCACCAGTTCGCAGTAGCCGATGCAGATCCCAGGGCTCGATCCCTAGTCCCCACCTTACCTGTGTACAGTATCTTTGTCGCCCCCTAGAGTTGAACCCGTGACCTGTGTATTTGTAACAGTGGTAGACTGTCGTAGGTTCCGGGGGTCGTAGGGGTTCGATTCGTAGACCTGTCGTGTAGGAGTCTTAGTCAGGTCTAAGAGTCGTAGCTGTAGCTCTCCTGAAAGATCAAGGTCGTAGCTGCTACAGTCCAGAAAGGTCCAGGTCGTAGCTGCTACAGTCTCGAAAGGCCAAGTCTACGACCTTCCGGAGGGTCCCAGTAGTGGCCTTTCGAAGTTGCCCACGTTTAGACTAAGGCAAGTGGGCGAGTGGGAGGCAAGTGGTGGAGACTGCCCGTGCTGAGTCAGCAGTCCCAGTCCTAGGCAGTCCTGTCCTAGTCAAGCAAGTACCGCATGGGACTGTGTGCACTTCGGGCATGGGAAAGGACCAGACCAACGAGCTGCAGAAGTATAAATCAAGAGGCAACGCCCAACCATTTATTCATTCCTGCGTGAGCCATGCGGAAGCGCTGCCACAACGACTTGTGCGAGGTGGTCTGCAGTGAAGCCCGAAGACGAAGTGGGCAGAGAGATAGGGTAGCGGCGGCCATAGCCGCCATAGCTGTAGTTAGTGTTCAGTGTGTGAGTGTGTGAGAGTGAACATAGTATCGTGTGTGGGATATCAAGGGTGATCCGGGGCATCTGAACAGAGAGTTGTATGGGCGCTTGTCGCCATAGCCATTGGAAGTGAACTCGTATTTGGGTTACCATATCTCTGAGTACTGAGTGGCCGCATGTCGCCAGTTTGCTGTGCTACTTTTTGCATGCCTGAAAGTGTGAATGGAAGCAAGTCTGATTGCATATATAGGGTTCAGCCTCCTGATGAGTCGGTGAAACTTCGACGAAACAGGTTGCCACAACCCCTCGTTTCTTGTCCTCTTCTCCCTCTCTGCCTACGATTTACCGGGCAGCTTTGTTTGACTATATATATATATATATGACGATATATATATATATATATATATATATATATCGTCACAAATAGAACTGCCCGGTAAACCGTAGGCAACGAAACAGTTTGTCACAGCCCCCCATTTGTTGTCCTCTTCTCTCTCTCTGCCTACGGTTTACCGAGCAGTTCTGTTTGTGACGATATATATATATATATATGTTTGTGACAATATATATATATAGTATATTATATATGTTCTTTTGATTATATGTATGTATATTATATTCTTTTTATTATATACTCTTATTCATAGGTACAATTATATAATAGAATTGAATCAAAATGGATCAAGTTATTTAAAGATTTTGACCCTCAAGCGGCCGCACATGTTCGTGTATGTGAACTGCGAATGCCGCAGGGCCTTTCCGCATTGTTCAGATCTTGTGGACGGCCATGTTGTCTCTGTTGATTACAATATCATCTAAGACGATAACCTTCGCAAACTTTTTCAAGAAGGTTCTAAATATCGTTTGAACGGGGAGACTGCTGATGTGCTCCAAGCACTGGCGATCGGACTGGATGAGTACATTGCCAGTTACAAGAACACTTTTGCTAGACACTCTCGATCTGCTTCTTTCTCGTCCCTTTCTCAAAAATTGCACAGCTGGCGTTCTGCAATACTTTAGCATTGTCAATCCAATGCGACTTTGTCTTCCAATCATGTGAGCCAGCAACATTCACTTCGTTGTGCACATGCCTTTTTACGCCATCTGCAACAACACTTTGCCATTGTCCCTGTGGACAAATCATCCCACAATTTGGCAATTTGTTGCAAGAATTGGTATTTGTTTCACCTCTCTACCCATTTGGACAGTCCCACTTATACTCGTCCTCATGAATCCGTTGCTGATGTGCTCAACCACCATGCACTATGGAATCACCATTGGGGTTATACCCACACTGATACCCTGCCTTACCTATACTATGTGTTGAAAGCCCACAAGTCTCCTCCAACAATTCGTAACATTCTTGGGGTCACAACACAGAATACTTGTCCTGTCCCCCCACGCACTCGCTGTCGTCCTTCAATCCGCACCATTCATGAACGGCCTCCTCACAAACCCTTGGCTAGCACAACGGCTACTTCGTCCTGTCTCAGCACTGCTTTGCAAGGCGTGATCTCTACTCTTCGTGAGAAAGACACTGAGCTCTATCAACAGGAAGGTGTTCGACGGTGCTGGATTGTCCAGAGTGTCGATGAGGTGGCGATTGACCTGAAAAACAATGTGTCCTCTCTACGTGGCCTCTCTCCTCGCACGGTTGATCTAACCACAATGTATACCAACCTTCCTCATAACCGCATTCTGAATAATGTGGCAAAGGTTGTTGATGAAGCTCATGCTTATGCCCTTCAGCATACCCGCATGCATTCGCGCTGCAGAGCCTTGAACATGTTCATTCGCGGGCCTTGCTCTGGCCAATGGACAACCGATTCAGGACCGGACAACCTTTCCGTTTCTCAGATTCTCCAACATCTTCGCTTTGTTGTAGAAAACACTTTTCTGTACGCTAGAGATGGTACTCTTCGAAAGCAAATCACTCGTATTCCAATGGGAACAAATGCTGGCCTAGAAATCTCCAATCTAACGCTCTATTGGGATGAAGCACACTTTATTGATGACATTCGTCCACATGATCCCCAAGCTGCTCAGCGATACACCTTCACTTATCGCCTCATTAACGATGTTCTTTCATGGGGCCAATTACCTCCTCCTTCAGAGCACTATGGGCTCGAGTGGAAGGAAACTATGGCTACAAATGGCTCGTGTACCTTTTTAGGTATGGATTTACGGGTACGTTCTGATGGATCGCTTCGCATGAGCGTGTTTGATAAAGCGGTTGCTTGGGCTTTCCCTGTTATTCGCTATCCAAGTGCTACSTCCAACATCCCTTCCCATCACCCGGTCGGTGTGTT